TGTGTGTCATGTTCGTTATACACAATTCCACAAAGAAAACTATGACTGTGACGGACTGTTTGGTCGGACTGTCGTCGACTCACGGGAAGGTTGAACCCAGACAATCTGCCCAGATGCATTTGACTGATGGGTAAGGACTCGACACGTCGCCCAGAGTGATGTGTTTCTCTTTTTTTTTTTTTTTTTTTTTTTTCTGTGTGTGTGTGTGTGTGTCTGCGCGCGCGCCCTGGCGATTATCCTGCCCTCTCGACGTCTTCTGCGAGTGTGGTGGGCGGAGAAAGAGGACTGGGAATGGGGGAAAGAGGACACTGCTGTCGTAGGGAGGAGGCCAGCACAACAATCAATGCCCAACAAGGGAGGGGGCGCTCGGGTATCCATAACTGTGGTGATTGGAAGGTGCCATGAATTGGCCAGATCCATCTGAATCTGGCGAGATCGAGACAATAACAATAACAACCGCGTCAACAACAAATCGCCTCAACAACAATAAATCGCAACGATAACAACCACAACCACACCAACAGCAAAGACGATAACAATACTGACCTGAACCAGCTTTCCTCTGCGCTCGTACTGCTCGATCACGTCGGTCATCACTCGCCTCACCCTCTCTTGGAACTTGATCAGTAGATCCCTTGCGGCGCCGCATTCCACCCATTCCCCCCTGAAGAGCTCCTCCCCCTCCCTCTCCCACTCGATTGCCTCGAAACCGCTGTCCCGCAGCAGCGAGTTCAGCGAGTCCAGGCTGCGTTTATTACTACTACTACCGGCAGTACTACTCGATCTGAACGCGGGGCCGTTCGTCGGACTTAGCGATGACGTCACTCGTATTCCCTTCGACGACTCGGCAGCAGGTCCTTCACCTGGCCCACCACCACCTTGCGATATTGAAGATTCACCAAGTCCAGCTGCTGCTGCTGCCACGCGTCGCAATCCTCTGCCAAGATAGGATTCGCACGTTGGACTCACGACTCCCCCACCTTCTCCTCCTCCTCCTCCTCCTCCTCCTCCTCCTCCTCCTCCTCGAGCAGCTGCAGCAGCAGCAGCTGCACTATGGCCAACAGTGTGAGGTTGCTGATGAGCGACCGGTCGCTGAACAGCAGGAGGGCATATCTGCTCTCGGAACCGAGCTGCCTGGTCTGCTGCTGTGAGACTGGAAATGGGACCATGGATCCGACCAGGTGCATTGGGAAGATGGACAGGAAGTGGACCTCCTTCCATCTCGAAGGGACTGAAGAGCTGTTGTTGGTACTTAGAAAGATTTAACGAGCTCCGGTGGTGATGAGCAGCCAGTTGGCTTTCCCCTTGGTTTGCAGTTCGGTCCTGGTTGTGACTCCCACGACGGAACTGATTCAGGGCCGCCTGATTCGAGCTCCCGACCTGGAAGTCGGCAGCGGTGCTGCCTGGGGGTGTCCCGTCAAGCCCCCATCTTGCTATGTTATCGCAAATGGGGGGGTGTTGGGGGGGTGCAAAACTGGTGGGGCTTGACACGAGTCCATGGGAAAGCGGCAGGTTGGCCGCGCGAATAGCGGAAGAAGAGGAGGAAGCGACCGGTCGTTGCTCTTCTTGCTGCAGCCCACGTGTCATGCTTTCTCGTCTGCCGTCCGTTGGATCTGCACTAACCCTCTTCTCGTAAAGGGAGGTGGAGGAGGTGGCAACGACCGGTCCATGAGTCGGCTCGCGAGCCGCCATGGCTGACCACCTCCTTCCTGGCTGATCAGCGACCGGTCCGTCAGCAGGTGCCCCTTCATCTGCCAGCGGTCTGTCGTCCCTCGGCTTCTTCCACGAGGATGGCTGAGAGAGCGTCGAGGAGGAGAAGGGATCGGAGGCCATCTCTCCCTCCCGCCTTTGCCCGCCGATACACTCGGTGTAAGATCCCAGTGATGGTCCAAGCGACGGACGATCTGTGGGTTCCCGCCAAGAGAGAGGGGAGGTGAAGGAGGAGGAGGAGGGGCGGTAGAGCGCCGTTGAGCTGTCAAACCCCTTTCCCCTCTCGTTAAGCGATGGGCCAGGTCGGGATCCGGACGCCGCGGCAGCAGATGGTCTCCTGCTGCTCGTACTATGCTCAACGACACCGATACCTGCAGTTGCGATCCCATCTCCAGGTCTCGACGTCCAAGCTTGCCGAGGAGCCGTAGACGAGAGGAATGGAGGGGAAGTGGTCCCCACCACCGCCTTTCCCTCCCCTCCCCTCTCTTCAGCTGCTAAGCTCTTGGAGGCGGAACTGGTGCAGCCACAAGTTGACGTCAACCCCCGACCTTCGCTGCCGCTGCCAAACTGCGCCTGCGCTTGACCGGAAGGATGATCTAAACCAGAAGAAGAACGCAATGCCATCTGACTAGCGCGCCATTCTCGCTCCACCTCCTCGTTGCTGCCACGTGTCATGGCACGCACCTCACTACTAGCCCGCCACTCTCGCTCCACGTCATCAGCAGCTCCTCCATGTGTCATTTTCGTGGGCCGAGACCACCCCCATGACAGCTCACCCCTGTTCCCGCTGCTGCTGCTGCTGGTATTGCCCGCAGCAGATGCAGCAGGTAGAGGTTGAGGGAGAGGTGGAGGTAGAGTTGGGGGAGCAGGAGGTGGTGGCCTGCTCTCTCTCTCTGGGCTTCTTGTGAACTGATAGCCAGTTGTGGCAGAAGCAGCGGAGACGACCTCACTAATAACGTCGTCCAGCACTTTACTATCAAGTCTACCACGTGTCTCTGGCTCGACAGCGTATGCAGAGTCGCCAGCGGCTGCACCCCTGCTAGCACCTACTACAGCTTCCCCCTCTAGCCCCTCCCCCAAGCCACTGCCTAAATGACCCCCCCGACCACCCCCTAAATGGTCCCCCTCCGTACCCCCAAACTGCCCCCCCCCACTCGCTAAACCCACCCCCTCACCACCTCCAAAACCCTGGTTAATCCCGAGCGAGGACTCGCGGGCATCCGTCTCTACCTCCTTAACCCGACTCGCTACTCTCGCATCATCACCTTCCTCCACATCTCCCCACCTCCTACCTCCCCCTCTCTCCTTGGGAGACGACTCACATCTTGCCAGGTTACTTCCCCCCTCCATATCCATACTCTCACAGGATCTTCTCTCCCTCGACACAGAGGATACCATACTGCCAACCTGCTCTGCTCCAGCCCCTCCCGAATCTCTCATCCTCCTTCCTCCTCCTCCTCCTCCTCCTCCTCCTCCTCCTCCCCCTCCCCGTTGATCCCGGCCGTGCATCCAGCTCCCGCTCCTTGCTGCTGCAGCGCCGCATACGACATCGCTCCTCCTCAAGTCCATATTTGCGTTGACGTCATCACGACGGCGCGAGCTCGGGGAGGGAGATAACGAGTGGCTGCTAACTCTCCCGCGCTCCCTTTTCCCCCCACCACCAGCACTGCTAGCAGGGCTGCAGAGACCGTACTTGATACTGAGGGAATGAATAAAGGCGGAGAAGTCCTCTGCAGCGGATCCCGATCCCGTCGAAGCTCGCCTCTCCCACTGCGGGCGGGCATTGCAACCGCTCCACTTGGTCGACCCACTCCCGATCCCGTCTCCACACCTTATCACTATGTCTTCTCCCGGCGGCGAGGCGTCGCATCGCCCGCGCCGACGATAACCCCTTCCACCTCCTCCTCCCTGAAGCGTACTTCTCCCCATGGGCAGAACACCGTCCGACATCCGGGACACTATTCCATTGCTTATACTATGTTGTATTACGTAATTGTATTTAAAAAAATGCGTGCTAATCTATCCATCGGAACAACGGGCAATCGTCTCCCCAGTGGGTTTCTTAAACCCTCCCTAAACCCCTTTACTAACTCCTGACTGCGATATTTATCTACCCATCTCTCTCTCTCTCTCTCTCTCTCTCTCTCTCTCTCTCTCTCTCTCTCTCTCTCTCTCTCTCTCCATCCACCCCCCTCTGCTGAGAAGGTGATTAGTCAGTCGATTCCCAACCCCTTTACTAACCCCTCACTGCGCTATTTATCTACCCATCTCTCTCTCTCTCTCTCTCTCTCTCTCTCTCTCTCTCTCTCTCTCTCTCTCTCTCTCTCTCTCCCTTTTCCGCCCGCCTCTGCTGAGAAGGTGATTAGTCAGTCGATTCCGGACTGTGATTCTTATCACAGGAATGCGAGATCGAATCCCGACGGAGCGACAAAGATTGAGTGGTTCTCGTTAACCCCCTAAGCAGAACGATTGCAGTTGCGTGATATCATCCAATTGGTTGGCTGCTTGATTGGTCGACCACGTCATTTCTGTCGTGTCTTATTCGCCGAATCAGTTACGAGATTACTTCATCAACGACACACAGTGCCTTAGACGTTCACCACACGCATGCGGTTATTTATCTAATCTATTATGAAAGATTGGCCACGTGATTAGTGCCACGTTATCATTGATTGATCACGTGATTGAATGACCTCACTCACGACAATGGGCTCGTGAATTCAGAATGCCGTTAGAAATCGAGGGAAGGCTTGAAACGAACCGACAGAACAAGAGAAGAAAACGGAAGCCGAAGGATCTATAAGTACGTACGTACGGTATCCTTACACACCAGGGGCTTCTCAGACGCACCTGGCCGGAATATCGACCAGGTTCCAATAGAAAAAAATCCGTTTGCTACGCGGTGAAAAACGCGAAGAACTACGGTAACGGGCCTACCAGCTCACAGTTGGTACACCTAGGAACTGTTGAAATGCGACCGATGGGATGGAATCCAGAAGCGATCAGATGAGCAGAATAAAATGGCTTTCCCAAAAAAAAAAAAAAAAAAAAAAAAAAAAGAGATGGTTGTTAACTACCCGGGGCCGGTCTTTTCTGACCGTAGATTACGAAGATCAGCCGTGAGGAAAAAGACAAAAAAAAGGATTAACGCTGAGAAGTAAGGATATCGCGCAGGTGGGACCCAAGACCCCATTCCATCCATCAACTCGAAATTGACTGAATGAAATGGAATGAACCTGCGGTTGGCGCATCAACTGGGGAGTAGGAGCTGAGGGCCAAGGCCAACTCTTGGCCGTGTCCTGCTGACAAACTCCGAACGTGGACATCCTATTGGCCAAGTTCTTGCCAGGTCGTTGACTTGGCAAGACATATATCCCCACTGGGCCCTGTCCCTCAGGTGCCTTAGGGGCTACCCTCGACTTGAGAAATATCAAGGGCAGTGCCTTTCCACTACGCCTTAGGGGTACCACCAGTGCTTGGCCCATACATCAGCAAGACATATATTCCCACTGGGCCCTGTCCCTCAGGTGCCTTAGGGGCTACCCTCGACTTGAGAAAATATCAAGGGCAGTGCCTTTCCACTACGCCTTAGGGGTACCACCAGTGCTTGGCCCATACATCAGCAAGACATATATTCCCACTGGGCCCTGTCCCTCAGGTGCYTTAGGGGCTACCCTCGACTTGAGAAAATATCAAGGGCAGTGCCTTTCCACTACGCCTTAGGGGTACCACCAGTGCTTGGCCCATACATCAGCCGCAGGGCGTTGCCCCTCAACTTTCGTGGCCTCTGATGATAAATCGCATCAACAGCCCAAAGTGCGCGGCCGGCCTCCGAGAGTGGTGGGAGAGCCCCGCGGCCGATGTATGGGTCAAGTACTGGTGGTTTAAACTGCTGGTACACAGCTGCAGCCTTGCAGAAAGTTTTTGTCGCCATTGACTTACCTTGAGGGCACTGGTGCGCAGCCCTGTTGATGCGTTTGGGGAAGGATGAGGTAGTGATTATGGTGTGCATATGTTTTGCTATGTTCGCTGTACACAAATCGAAGAGTGTTGGGGGAGGGTTCCTGTGGGGGAGGGTTCCGGCTGGTGCTCTATTAACGATGTTCATGGGATGCTGGACCCAGTTTCCAGCAGGTGCCGCTCCCCACCAATAGACAACAGAATGTGTGCGTGTGTGTATGTGTGTGTGTGTGAGAGAGAGAGAGAAAGAGATGGCACGCAGACAACGACCAAAATGGGCACATGTGACTCACTCAATCGGGCGCTGAATGTGTGGGGCGTTGAATACGTCCATGTTCAGACACATCTGTTTGCACTTGCAATGCAATGCAGGTGTGTCTTTTCAACCTGCGGCCAAGGCCACACCCTGTCCGATTCAGACTTTTTCCACGTTTCCACCCTGTGGCTGCTTTGCCACCGTTTCGACCAAAACCCAGCGCGCGGTCCCATGGGCAGCTACGAGTCCCACATTTTTCAAAGGAACTGCCACCACCCCCCAAAGTCCCACCCTGCCACTGCTTTGCCACCGTTTCGACCAAAACCCAGCGCGCGGTCCCACAGGCAGCTACCAGTCCCGCATTTTTCAAAGAAACTGCCACCACCCCCCAAAGTGTCGTGCCTGCACCTGCCTGCATTTTTTGAACCTTCCAACAACCAAACGAGCCTGAATCAACGACCAGTATAACGAAGAACGACGAAAATGTCTCAGGGGGGGAAAACGCACCCCTGACGCGCTGCGAACAAGCAAAACTCGAAGGCGCCGCGCGGTGAGGGGCGCCGTTGAAAAAAAAAATTGGCGGCCTCCGAAGTGGTGCGCGTTTCATGCTAACACCAGTGGGCCAATGCGTGGTGTACTTGTTCGCAACCCGTCAAGGGTGCGTTTTCCCCCCCTGAAAACATTTTTCATCGTCGCGCATTATACGGTCGTTGGAAGGCTGGAAAAACAAGGCATGGCAGTTTAGGGGGTGGTGGCATCTAATTTGAAATTGCAGGACCGGTAGCTGCCCGTGGGACCGCACGGGTTTTGGTCCAGGACCGCGTAGGACCGGTAGCTACGAGTAGGAGGCCGAGGAGGCCGCAGTCCTTTTTCGAAATTGAAACAGTGCGGGTAGTCCTTTTTCGAAATCGAAACGGTGCAGGTCCTACACGTTGTATTCGAATACAACCTGTACCCTTTCTATTCGGATTTCGAAAAGAAAAAACTCTTGTATTTCGATAAAATTACTTCTTCTTTTTGTTGGAGGTCAG